TGGCTGCCTCTTTTTACCGCCGGATTCTAGGGATACCAACTTCAATTAAACTATCGACTATAGCCCTAGAGTTAGGCATGCATCTACCCTCATCGGTAGCGTGGGCACTCACATTCAAATTCTGGCTCCGCCTTTTCTTTAAAACAGACCCAGACTCTCTTTTAGTTCATCTTCTTAAGGATCATTATCAATCCAAGTGGTTTACGTTATGTGAAACCAAACTTGGATCGATTGGTATACCTTTAAATTCCATCTTTAACAGCAATTTTGATCAGGCACTCTCTCTTGTTAAAGAGAAACTATGGGAGTCCGAGTATATCCATCTGGTCTCCAGTATCAACCAAACATGCTCTCCTATCCACTATGGTATCTTCCCTACCTTTGGCTCTGGACACTTTTACTTACAGTCCCTGCTGAACCCCCTAACCAGGAGGGCTTTTATGCTAGCGCGGCTGAATATTTTCCCCTCCGAGGTCCTCAAGGGGCGATATGCCCGAGTACCCTTCGAAAAAAGAACTTGTAACCTTTGCAGATTAGAACCCGATACAGTTTCGCATATCCTGTGTCACTGCCCCAAGTTTAGAGATCTCCGAGACCGAATTCTAGGACCAATCATCTCGGGCTTCTCTGGTCCCCCCCAGCTTCTGACAGGCTTCCTCCTCCACGACTTTTCTCTGGAAACTACGACCCCAGTAGCTGAGTTTCTTGCTAAAGTGCTCACTCTCCAAACTTCAAAAAAACTAACCAAACTTCCCCCACTATTTTAATTTATTTTTGGATTGTATGTTTTAAATGTTTTATGCCAATAAAGGTTGCTTAAAGAATGTAATTATGTTAAGAACTGGAAATTGTTCTTATTTATGCAATTATGGTTTGTTTCTTTTATCTTCAAATTGGCTGTGTTGAACAGAACTATGGAACAATACCACCATTACTTTATTTAAAATAGTGTGTGCTGTGAAACTAGGTTTAGATAGCAATATAGTTAAAATCCTCCAGCATGTAATTATGTTAAGAACTGGAAACTGGTCTTATTTATGCAATTATGGTTTGTTTCTTTTATCTTCAAATTGGCTGTGTTGAACAGAACTATGGAACAATACCACCATTACTTTATTTAAAATAGTGTGTGCTGTGAAACTAGGTTTAGATAAATATTTTTAAAAGTAGGATTTTATTGATTGTAAACTGCCCAGAGTAGTACTTTCCATATTTGTGGTATACAAATAAAATAAATAAGTAAATATTCAATAGTACTGATATGAGATGAAATGTATTTACACAACTAAACAGAAGGTGTCACTCTGGATTCGGTGTTTAGTATTTAGTATCATTCTGTTAGAAAGACCAGAGAGCTACCTTTTTGTTTTGTTGTTTATTCGTGTCGGCTCTTCATGACCCCATGGACCAGAGCATGCCAGGCCCTGTCTTCCACTATCTTTTAAAGCCATGTGTTTATTTAAAAAGTTTACACTGAAAT